AATGTGAGGTTAGGTACAAACTTATTCAGCTTACTATGTACTAAATTTTCATTCATTAACAAATAATTTTCACAACTCAAATTAAATTGTTATTTAAATTATGTTAAATTTAAATGTAATACAGTATGTTTATTTTTAATATTACAGTGTATGTGTCATATGTGTAATTACACAGTTTGTGTAGTAAAATGGCTGTCTGTTTACGCGCAAGACGAATAAAAATTAAAATATCGCAGCATCGAGATAACGGGAGATTTATTGGAATAATAAAATGGCAGACAACGTTTTTTTAAACACGTAAATAAAAGCGGGAACAACAGTGTACATAAATCTAAGGTTTGATGAGAATTTCAAAAATATTGCATCTGTTAACCGCTAAAAAAGCGTCAGCCCATAAAACATGGTAACTGATTCAAATTCAGGACTAAAAATGGGCTGCAATCGCGATACTATGTTTCATCGATTCAGAACGATTTTGAATATCATATCGCTCCAGCTTAATGAAAGCTTCGATGCCGTTGACACTGCCATAAATTTCGTGTCATGGACCGTGATCTCGTTTACTGATATACAAAATCGTACCTCGGGAGGAAATCGAGAAGTTCGTTCCTTCATTTTCTGTTCCATGTTTGTGCTTTTTAGAAATTCGTCAGCTTTCAAATTGAATTATCGGAGAATGGACGATCAAATTAATCTCAAAAAAACTACTCTACAAACATAAGTTACGATCGCAAATCTGTTACATTTCTTACATTTTTACATTTATTTATAATTTTGTCAAATGTACAAAATGTACTTTGTCAAAAAATGATATCGAAATGTAAATTCAGAGGTCGATTCTTTTCACCAAAATTTATATCCCGTATAAATAATGTATCTTCAGAATTTAACCGCAAATTTTTCATCTGAATCTTTCGCATAAAATCTCGCTTGTACTAAGATAAATGATATTTCCCATGATATATGTTCATTCCAAAGCGTGATCTCTATGAATTTATACGATACACGATAATGTCGATTATTAGCGCATGCATTATTCAATGTATGGATTATTGACTATCACGGGATCATCGGTGATGTTATAATTTTAATTTACAATTTAGGAAATAATTGACAGATAAATTACGAGACATTTGAACATGTAAATTGCACTCGTGATTGGTAATATTGGGTTTGGAACGGAATTACACTTGCGATTCGAAATGTCTATAACATGTGTTGTAATTGACTGTTAGTTTATGACACATTTAATGATGATCTGTCTAAATGTCAGACACATATGAGATGCAAGAAAATATGATAGGACTAAGGGTTGATTCATAATTGATTGAACTTTGTTAACTCTTTGAGCTGATAAGATAATTTAGTTGATTTAACAACAATGTGAAATTAATATTTTTTAAGTTAGTCTCTATATGTGGTATGTACATAGTGAAATCGATAATAATGATAATTAACTTCTTGTTCTACAATAACACAGTATGTCACACTCGTGACACACACTACAGTTCGAATGTGGTAAACCAGACTCATATTTTCATTATAATCAATTTTTGTCTTCAATTCTGATTATAATCTGCGTCCTCAAGGATCACTGAATGTATAATGCACTTGACATTAATAACTTTCTTCAGTCATCTTCGTGTTGTATAATCATGAAGCTATGTTCAGAAAATTATAGGTTAAGAAGTTAGGTTATGTTCAAGAAGAACAACTTCAAAAGGATTTATAAAACTCAACGAGTTGAGAATTGCTGGCTACCAACAATAAAAATATTTGAGTGCACAATCAATCACAAAAGTCCTCGTAAAGTAATCAACTGTCCAGCCGTGCCGAGTAGTTGAATTTACGTAGGCGAGTACGTGGCTGTATAACCAAGGGAAAATTGCTAGACCCAATATGAAATCAGCATCGTCAGCAAACAGGGGTTTAAAAAGTCGTATCGTGCCCTCATAAAGCAAAACCATTTTAACACTTACCTGCCGGTGCTCTATTTACCGGAAAATTTGTTCCACTTTGCATAGCGAGAATCTCTCTCTCTCTCTCCACCCCCGAGCAACCAGCTCGCATCTCGGCCCCATCCAATTCCCATTGGTTGTAGTGGTGCGACGGGGCTATTCGAGCAAAAGCGACCGGGTGAATATCTTGCAGTGATGGTAAACGGAATTGAATAAACATTTTTCAGCAAATAGAGCCGACAATGGTACGAATTTAAAAGTCGCTGAGACGAGCACAGGTGGTTCTCCCGCCAGCGACGAAAGCGCCGAACGGAAAAATTGCATTTCGCCTGCCCTGGCCCTTCACCACCCTACGTCTTTGCGCTCCCCATCTACCATCAACGTCACATTTCTTTCGTTCTTGCGCCCTCGCGCGAGCGTTTCACTCCGCGAATAACCGCCATAAACTTGCAAAGAGATGGGTATGTGGTTCGGTACACTCCCGCACAATTATCTAACGATTCTTCCCCGGAAAATCGTTATAAATGCTAATTTGTGAAGTTGGAGAGATGCAATCTGAGAGAAGATGCAGTTTGCGGGGAAATTATGGCTGCTGGTGAGATAGGTTCACCCATGAAATGCTGGGAGTGTGAACTACTTCGAGTATGAGATGTTTTTGAGATAGTATTGAAATCTCAATTTTGGAACCCTTGAATTTTTAACGAATGTGGTTTTCAATGCTTTTGAAGACGCAATTTGTGGATTTGTAAATTAGGTTTAAGGAATTAGCAAATTTACAAATTAGGGGTTACTCTATTACCCAATTAGAAAATTAGCCTATTAGTAAATTGATACGACAATTGAAAACTATTTTCGCCCTCAAATCTATCGTCCATCGAATTTTAAATTGCCCCAAAAAGTACTTTGTCGAACAAATCTACAATCCAGCGATAACTGACAATCAAAAGCAACCGACAGCTTCATTCAGCAATCGAAGAGTCGAATATTTCCCAAAATACAGCCATGAATTTGAAAGTGGCGCGTTTGTTCGGTTGTTTACTATAAAAGAAAAAAAAGCACGTAGGTCGAAACTGTCGGCCGTTTACGAGGAAATACTCTCGAGCTCGTAAACGAGCTGTAAAGGGATAGGGTGGAAAACAAGGGTTGAAAATTGGAACGGAAGTGGAAGAGGTCAGACCCAAGACGGCGCCACCCGTCACTGAAACCGATTTACGATCTCGAACCCAGTTGGCCAGTTTGTTCGTAAAGAAGATCGTTTTCTCTGCTGTGAAAAGGAGGATCGAGAACGGCGATCGATCAGGACAGACAATAAATTAGCATCAAGTTAGTATTCGACGTGCTCAAATCCATTGTTCTCCTTTATGTTTGTGGATCCGCATTGGTGTAGGTATGTGAAAAGGAGTCTTGCGAAACCATAAATCCTTGGAAACGTTATTCTTCGATCACGAAGGAAAACGATGAAAAGAATTTTATTGCTGAAAATCGGTTTTTAGCTGACCTCGATCGGACGGTTTAATTGTGGCTCTGGTTTAGAAGGGATCGAAGTGAAGATGGTGATATTTATAATCATTTGTATTTTAATAATTATACATCGTAAAGTATGTGTTTTGAATTTTTAATTATGAATATTAATTATGAATTCTATTTGGAACATATTTGGTGCCACATGTGGTGATGATGTATGTTATATGATCATGTAATATATGTGATATATGATACATGATGATGTAATATGATATATGATACATGATGTAATATGATATATGTTATATGAGGACGTAATATGATATATGTTATATGACGATGTAATATGATATCCTCATATAACATATATCATCACATGTGGCATCAAACATGCCGAAACACAGGTGACCCAAATGAAATTTCGAATTCCGTCGATCATTAAAAAAAGAACCAAAGGAAATCTAGCACATAATTCTTGCCTCTATTCGAAACGTCTGCCGTTCTGGCTTGCAGGGGAATTTCAATAGCCTCGTGTTACGGCGATATTAAAAATACCATAGGAGCGTTTTCAGTTTTCAACTGTGACGTGGTCGAGTTTCGTGGTGCACGTTCGTTTCCCGTGTGTATGGTACAAAATCTCCCGGTTGGAATCTTTCGAATTTAAATATCAGCGAACATCCGGGCCGGGCACACGCGATTCTGAATCGCAGCCAGGATATAAGGGTACTCTCTCACGGCTCTAGACCGGTTGATCTTGCTATGCATTTATGGATGTCGAAAAGGACCAGCTATATCTTGCGCTTTCCTTTCGCGACGAATTCGACATTTTCGATCCCCTTTCCTTTTATCCAATGGACACGTTGCATTTCCTTTTGTACGATTTCGTGGCTTCTGTATTAGCGGATTCGAGGATGATCGTCGATTATGGGCCTCCCTGCTGGAAGCTTCTGAAGCTGGGGAACGGAACTCCGTGGAACTTCTCCAGACGATTTCCCAAAGGACCTTGCTCGATAATTCAACGTCCTTCGTCCACATACAATTCAGCTGTCTTTCTTCGGGACATCGGGGCCATTGTGATTTCTTTACTCTTGGATCTTTGATTCTTTTCGAAATTTCAGGGGACACTCGTACAACGTGAAATATCAAATCATCTCGTAATTTACTTCTATTTATCCTTTATTTATTTGTTAATGTACCTTATATAAGGATGTTAAGATTTGATCTCTTCATAATGATGCACTCTAATAACTAATGTTGAATTAGGTACATTTTGTCTTTATCTACGACATTAGGTCTTTTGATTTACATACTTGAAGTTAGTAATTTAGAATCTTTTTAAAACGAAGCATTTCGAAAATGGACATTGACCACGTTTTATTTTTATCTAAAAATTTTGTGTTGTATAATATGTATAAAGTATACAATTTATAATGTACAAATTCCCAAACGTCCAAATTAACATAAAGGCAAATAACAAAGAACGTAAAGCGCGAGCATAAAAATTGCAGCGTTTGAAATATAACTAGCCATCGAATAAAATAAGAGCGAGCACCAATCCCCTGTTGTTTCTGTTTACAGATTACCTATAGCAGGCGTAAGAGAAACGGCGCATTTCGAAGCTGTTGATTCATTCGCGAGTCTCCGTAACGAAAACACGAGGCAGCCGTGTGTGGAGGATCCGAGTAAATTACTGTGTATCCAGGCTGACCGCGTTAATCGGCTTTCCCGGTGCGAACGTGAGCCAGTTCGATCGACGAGAAATGAGAAGAAGACGAAGCAGCAACAGCGAACGGAACAGAACAGGGTTCGAGTGGATCGTCGAAGCACGCAGCCGCGGTTTGCATCGGGAACATTTATTCCGGAAATCCTGTTTGTTGGAATGAAGCCTTGAAGTTGCCATCCACTTGCACACCGCCCGCGTTTCCGTCTGCATCCCGCGGCTCCACTCGCGGCTACATTTCTTCTTTTCTTTCTTTCGTCGCGAGGTCGCTGGCTTAGCATTCAACCGGCACGGAAGAAAGTTTAAGTGACTCATGGAGACACTCTTGAAATTCACTCCGCGCCGTTACTTAAGTTTCTATTTTCCCGCTAACGTGGAGGAAGGCGTCGTCGCGTAGCGGATGTGGCGTCCCAGTGCCGTACTCTTCTGGACACCTCGATCGATGGATCGAGCATGAAAGTTTAACCGGAGTTCAACATCCGCGGCGAAATTACCCCCGGACCACAAATCACCACGGAATATTTTCGAATTGGTTCCTGCAACGGCGAAGTTACGGTTAACGTAACGTCCCGGAATCGTTTAATAAGAGCGAGTTACTCGCGCCTATAAATAACTTCTGCGAGGCTAATATCCTCGAGAATCGAGGATTTCGATCGTTCGGGGAGAGGCCGGCTACGAGGGACGATCTAATATCCGAGGAAATATCTCGAGCATCGATTTTTCCGATAAAATTCCAAGCCACGTTCCGGTCAACACGAGTGGCCTTTAGAAAAATGAGCCAAATGTCGATCGAACGTTCGAGCGATCCCGGAGCGTCCTTCGGCAATCTGCTTCCGTCTGGCGAGCATTTTCCGAAAGGATAATCAGAATCGGTGATCCTGTAGCCCCGTGTGCCGATTACGTGACGGAGGTCCTTTATCCGCGGATAAGAAAGCTTGCAGCGTGTCACTACGGAGGGTAACCAGTGACACGGGACTTTCGACCTGTAAATCGTTCGACCGTCCAATGGAGTGTTCAAGACGTTGGAAATTGGACGTCTCAAGGATTCGCGTGTTCGCGATGCCTCCGTAACGAAAACACGAGGCAGCCGTGTGTGGAGGATCCGAGTAAATTACTGTGTATCCAGGCTGACCGCGTTAATCGGCTTTCCCGGTGCGAACGTGAGCCAGTTCGATCGACGAGAAATGAGAAGAAGACGAAGCAGCAACAGCGAACGGAACAGAACAGGGTTCGAGTGGATCGTCGAAGCACGCAGCCGCGGTTTGCATCGGGAACATTTATTCCGGAAATCCTGTTTGTTGGAATGAAGCCTTGAAGTTGCCATCCACTTGCACACCGCCCGCGTTTCCGTCTGCATCCCGCGGCTCCACTCGCGGCTACATTTCTTCTTTTCTTTCTTTCGTCGCGAGGTCGCTGGCTTAGCATTCAACCGGCACGGAAGAAAGTTTAAGTGACTCATGGAGACACTCTTGAAATTCACTCCGCGCCGTTACTTAAGTTTCTATTTTCCCGCTAACGTGGAGGAAGGCGTCGTCGCGTAGCGGATGTGGCGTCCCAGTGCCGTACTCTTCTGGACACCTCGATCGATGGATCGAGCATGAAAGTTTAACCGGAGTTCAACATCCGCGGCGAAATTACCCCCGGACCACAAATCACCACGGAATATTTTCGAATTGGTTCCTGCAACGGCGAAGTTACGGTTAACGTAACGTCCCGGAATCGTTTAATAAGAGCGAGTTACTCGCGCCTATAAATAACTTCTGCGAGGCTAATATCCTCGAGAATCGAGGATTTCGATCGTTCGGGGAGAGGCCGGCTACGAGGGACGATCTAATATCCGAGGAAATATCTCGAGCATCGATTTTTCCGATAAAATTCCAAGCCACGTTCCGGTCAACACGAGTGGCCTTTAGAAAAATGAGCCAAATGTCGATCGAACGTTCGAGCGATCCCGGAGCGTCCTTCGGCAATCTGCTTCCGTCTGGCGAGCATTTTCCGAAAGGATAATCAGAATCGGTGATCCTGTAGCCCCGTGTGCCGATTACGTGACGGAGGTCCTTTATCCGCGGATAAGAAAGCTTGCAGCGTGTCACTACGGAGGGTAACCAGTGACACGGGACTTTCGACCTGTAAATCGTTCGACCGTCCAATGGAGTGTTCAAGACGTTGGAAATTGGACGTCTCAAGGATTCGCGTGTTCGCGATGCGGTTGACCGATGCGCAGAGATCCCGAAGACGATCGCGAAGAAGATTATTCGCGATCGTTGCTGAACAGATGATCAGATCGAAGTGATTTTGGTTGTTCGCCTTGAAATCTAGCAGGCATTACTTTCGGGCATGAAAATCGACGTTGGTAGCTCGAGGTCAGAGGGAGGTCGAAGAATATCGAAGATACGCTCGTTGATCTTCCAATTTCTCTTGCTGGAAGGCTGCTAACAGATACGACGGTCTCGTGTCGGAAGACGAAATCGAGTGATCCGGCAACAAGGATAAAAAAAGTGGAAGGATGGAGAAAGAGAACGCGAGACATTATAGAGCTTACGAGGGCTTCAAGCCCGCCAACAATGGGAATACTTCGTCCTTGAAGAGGTCCACCTCGGATCGCTCTAAAACGCATCCCTCGAGACAAGTGAGGTGCCTCTGCTTCGGCGGTGTGCCGGACAAGGCTAGCCAACACTCCTTCTTGAAGGGTTTTGTTATAAACCTCGGGATATGTGCTCTCCTCGTGGCTTATACTTTGCTCGGTAGCTTCATCTTCCTTGCGATCGAGAGCGGCGCCGATGTCGGGATGCAACAAAGGACGCTTGCCACCACAATAGCTGGAAATCAGCCTACCAGACGGAACACCACCGCTTGGATGAAACAGGTGAGCGAGTTTGCATTGATTTCTCCCCGTAGAGGCTCTTCTTCCCTCTTTTATCTCCCATTGTTGCATCTTTCTGCTCCACATATGATCTGAATAACGAACACTTGTGAGCATCTTACCGCTTTCAACAACATTTCGGAGTTTCGTGGACAACGGCACGAAAAGTAGAGTAATAAGCGTGAGATAAAATGCCAAGTATACTTCCTTACTTTGCTTGTTTTCTTACAGAAAAACTGGGGATGTTGACATGATTTCTTGTTATATGAAAGTGTCCAAGTTTAAGTATCAACATGACGTTTATATTTTATAAACATTAACAAGTCATAATTGCATAAATATTCATAGTTTAGTTATAATATTAAAACACCTCATTTTGTAAAACCACAACATGCAACTCTTCAAAAAAACAGAAAAATTTGCGTTTAAAATTCTTATAACTGCTTGAGAATAATGAAAAATGTATTGTAGTCTGACAGCACCATATTCTACAATATATACATTCGAAATAGTAGAAATATTTTTAACATAATATATGTCTCTTCGAATTTAACTTTCCATATTTTGTAAAGTATCTCAAATATTTCGAGATAGCTGACAATTTAAGGGGTTGTTTTTACACCATCGTTTCACTGACCAAACAAAAAATTTCAATGCTTGAACTACATTTCCGCCAAGTTTACCTTCCGAGTTTCCAAATCGACGAACTTCTCTTGCAAGTAAAACGCGTGTTTGCTCGATATATGACCGGGTAGTTTTGTCACTCCGGCGAAATTGCCATCCGCGCTAAACGCGTCCAGGTGTTTGACTTTTTTTTCCCGTCGACTAAGAGGAACGAATGGTATCGTTCGAAGCAAATCTCGATTTATCGTCGCATCTCTGGCTTGATCCCGGTTTCCTTTAGCTGAGATGACCTCAGTGAACCCGAAGTCAATCGAATTATCGGTGCGTTCTGGCGTTGGCGCTCGTTTCAACGAAGTTTTATCGATCGAACGTCCCATCTAGTTTCCTCTTTTCTTTAAAGTGAAACCCGTTCTACAGACTCCTCTGCGCGGAAAAGATATTTCTGGATCCTCGATTTTATTCGCGGTTACTCTTCGCGTGCCGCGTCCTATGATGCTGACGGTAATTTATAATGAAAGCTTCTCTTTTTTTCTTCGACTCAGCACACGGAATAGAAAGAAATCGATAAACGTAAAGTAAAGCTAAGTGAATTGTCCGTGGTCCTCGTTTCATAGATAATGCGATAGATAATTTAACTGATAACTTAAAACCTACATTCCTTAAGCCCCTGCTCTTCAAACTTCTCTTAAATTATTTTCGCTGCTATACGATTTTACATTTAGTGTCGATAAAATCCTAATGTTGCGTCTATAAATAATTAAATGTTTAGACGAGACATTTCATGTAATTATTCCGCGATAAACCCTGTAGATACCTCAAGGCCTTTCGCTAAAATTCACTCTATCCGCAAAGATGTGTATTTAACCTTCTAACAAAGTGTTCGCGTGACATTAAGGTTAATCACGAGGCTCGAGCGAAGACCGTAGAGAATATATGGATAATCACGGAGAGTTTGAACATCCTCTACCGTGAGAACTGGACGAGGCTGGCCGCCCAGGAGATCGCACGTTTTCAGGATCAACTGGTGAAGAGGATCACCGAGGATATGATGGCGACCCAGAACGCCGGAACATACGTCGGAAGTTCCTCGAGCGATCCTGTAACTGAACGACGAGTGCCGGAATACGAGTGGAACTTCGCCAAAGCGTTCCTCTATTCTCTTACCGTGCTCACTACCATCGGTGAGTGATTAATCAACATTTTATAATCATTATACTATGCCTTCTATGACTAGGGCGAATTATTACTATTGCTAGTCGAATATTCTACGAATAGTTTCTGTTTATTATATCTTCGTTTTGAATTCTTTACAAAACTGTAAAATTCGGTACGTGAAGAAAAATGTATATCTTGGTCTTTGACATTGATGAAATTAGTGGAGTTGTATTGTAGGCAATTTTTATACAGAGGGACGCGCCATTGTGCGCAGGAGAGCTGCGCAGTGTACGGTGCGCAGTACTGTATGCGCATACGCTCGAGTTGTAAACGATGAAAGTTTAGAACCTAAACTTTATAGACAATTTTTGCTTAGAAATTCACTACATTATAATCGTGAAGTCAGTTTATTTTTAGTTAATCTAGAATTGTGGATATTATTGCATTTTCTGTTTGCAATATTAGATAAGCACGCACGAAAATCAATAGAATGAAAAGAGACTTAACCTTCTCTTACATAAGTGTGTGAATTATTAGTCTTTTTATGAGAAATTTGTAGGTTGGACAAAAGTCCTCTTAAAACTATTTATTTAGTGAAAAATTATAACAGAAACTGTTTTCAATAATCAATTTTAAAATTGGTTATGTTTTGTACATAACTAAATAATATAATGCTATGAACTTACTGTATGCATATTTTACAAAACTTCTAAAGTAGAAGCTTATAGCATGTTTTCATCAAAATTTTAAAGTAAAATGTTACAAACGTTACGAAAGCTGGAAATTTGTAATCATTAAAGATTTAATTTATTGCTCGAAGTAATTAGTTTCTATGAACGCAAATATAAATCCTCTGCTTATTAATTTTATATTGATTCGATATTATACGGTCAATAATTAAATAAATCTACAAACTGCGAATATACGAATGAGCGATTTAAAATTACTTGAAAGCGGTATGTCGAACGCAATCAATTTCAGCTTTGAAACAGCATAGAAGGATTCCTTTATTGAGACAAAGTGGAAAGAGCAAAATGAAATTTGATCCGTGGAAATCAATTAAAAAGAGCGAATCACGTTGGAAAAGTTGAAGTTTTTAATTAGAGAGAAATGCAGAGGTGAAAGACTGTAAAAACTTAAAGCAAATTAATTCTTATTGGGTTTCATTTTAATTTTTTGTTTTTTTGAACAGTTATTATAATGATCTCTTATTGCTAATTTCATTACTATTATAATTACGATTGTTACGGCTAATTTAATTCTTATCGCAATTATTTTTGCTGATATCATTCTGGGTATAGTTTTTTAATATTTCAGTTATTTGTTAATTTATCAGTTACTTCTTAATATTCAGTTATTTAGGTTTGGTCAGTTATTATGTTTAATTTACAGTTTTTGAAGTATCATTTTAATTGTTGTTACCAACAGTAAAATGTCAAATAAGCATTTTAAAATTTGAGAATATGGAACCTCAAAGTTTTGAGGACTTAAAAATTTACGAATTTAAGAATTTGTAAAATTTGTTTGATCAGACATTATGTTTGATTGGCAGTCATTTTTGGAGGATCATTCTAATTGTTGGTACTAACAGTAAAATATTAAATAAACATTGTGGAATTTGAAGATATGGAACCTTAAAATTTTGGGGACTTAGAAATGTAAGAATTTAAAAATTTGTAAAATTTGTAACATTTTAAATTCAAGAATTAAATTTGTGTCTTTTAAATTTGGTGATCAGAAAATTTTCAAATTTGAAGCTCACAAAATTTAAAAATTAAAAAATTGAAAACTTGAAAGCTACAAAGCTTCGAGAATTGTTTAGAACAGTGAAATCTAAAGTATCGAAAATCCACCGAATCAAAAAGTTCAGAACCACAAGAATTCCGTGGAAAATTTCTAATATCCAGCAGCATCCGTAGCGGTAATCGTAAATCCAACCACAGTAGCTTTCTCCAAAGCCCGCAAGGTTGCACACTGCGCAAGATTACACGGGACCGTGCAGATAAACGAACGAGTGTTTCCCGTTAAATGCTAAACAGAATTCCCTTTCGTGAATTCCGGGAAGAGTAACATGGGGGTCCGTACCATCTCGGCGATCAGGCCTGCGGACCTTCAGAACCCGCGTCCGTTAATCGAAACGGCAAACATTGAAATTCCGAGCGGTGCCAAGGCATCACTGCACGATCTCGCCGGTAAATGCAAAACGAAACGAGGGAGAATTTTACGTTCGAACGATACCTGATAAAACGTACAACACGCGACAGATACGCGTCCGAAAGGGTAGAAAAAAAAATAGTAGCGTGGAGGCAACAAGAGTCGGTGGTTGCGAGGTCGAAAGGGGTGAAACCAGGGGCGTAAAGGGAGGGCACTAGTATAGCGGGCATCAATTTTCAAGGCAAACAAAGTCCAACATTAACGTGTAATGGCTGCGGCGTCGACCGGCTTCCTATTGTCCGTTTTACATGCCGATACGATACGCTCTGCGTGCACGGAACCCTGACAATATCAACGCTCCCGGCTTACCGGCGTTCGAACCGAGTGACGTCACGTTCGATCGTTTACTCTGGTTATTACTGAAACAGATTGGAAGTCTATGAGTTTTGTGGATATTACAGAAAAAAGGATAAATAACAGCGACGAGAAACGAACAGGAGTTCGAACGTACGGGAACAACGAGGGAATACGAAGCAGCTTATCGAATTATCGTTGCAATATACCTTTTATCTTCGTATTTTTTTTTTATAGCCTTTTCGTCTTTCTTTCTTTCTAATGCATCGACAAATTCTCTGCCGTGGAAATAGCAACTTTGGAGCTCTTAATGCTACTTCGCGTGTGTCGAACACGGCGAAAATGTGATGTACAACTTAAGCTGAACGTCGATTGAATTAAATTGTTGGCGACCATTTTGAAAACGTAAATCGACGTAATTCTTTGGTAAAGCTTGGTGGCGAAATGGCGGATTAGAACGGCGGATGATTTGAGTGCTGTTTTGAGAGGCTCAATTGGAGAATTAAGGGGAGAGTGGCAGAATTATTTTTATGAGGAGATTTTATTTTAGTATAGGTTTTAGGTACTCAACATTTATTGCACTGTCGCATTTTTTACGGTACTTAGTTTTTATCTGGCGATGAATTTTCTGTAGAAATGTAATTAGATGAGATATTTAGTTTAAAAATTTGGTTTGAAAATTTGAGAGGTTGAAGATTTGGAGATATGGAAATTTGAAGTTGGAGATGTTTGTTTCACAAGTTTATACATTTGAAAATTTGATGTTTCTGAATTTTGCAAATTTCTAAGTTTCTAACTTTTCAAATTTCTAAATTCCCCAATTTCTGACTCCTGAAGTTTTTAAATTAACAAATTTCTCAGTCTCCCAGTTTCCACATCCCCAAATTTCTATGTTTCCCAATTTCTACACTCCCCAATTTCTAAATCCCCCAACTTCCAGATTTCCTAAATTTCAAATGTCCCAACTTCCAAATTCCCCAACTCCCAAATCCCCAAATTCCAAATCCC